GCGAGTCATTAGAATAAACACAAGAAGAAAGGTCCCACTTAGCTGCTTTATCATGCATAATTGCAATTGGTGGTTTGCCAAGTTGTGGACTTCTCTCTAACCTAGCATGAAAGGGAAATTATCAACAAATCTTTAAAGCTGTGTATGAATTTCATAAGGAAATAAAAGACAGGTTATTGATCAGGTTATAGAATAAAAGTAATAGTAGTAGTAAGAATAGAAACAAGCATGAGAGTTAACATTGAAAACTTACGAAGCACCAGGTGCTAGGCTAAGTATAATACTACATTATCTCACATATTCTGAAAACACCCATATGAGGCAAATATTATTAGTATCTGCATTTTATAATACTTACTCAAGAGCATGCATCTGGTTTAATGCAATGACACTGCCCTGACCCTACTATACATATATGTCTGGATGATTAACTTCCTCTATATATTCCAGGCTATACATGATTATGGTACAAGAAGCCACTACTTTCAAGAATCTTTACATACCTTTGAGGACAGAATACACTGTTCCAGCCACAGTGCCCCTTCCCACTTGGAACGTAAGCGACTTGGTTGTCCAGTATCACTGTGGGAGATAATCTGGTATGTACATAAGCACACCAATTCCTAAAGAAGAGATACTTTTTGTTAGGAAAAAAACATTGTCAAAGAATTTGTTTTATCAAAATTATGTTCATAGACTTATACCTTACTGCTAGTACTATAGATTAGATACCTTGAAAATTGATATTTTAAAATATCTATAGATGAGAGAGAACAAATGTTTACTGCATTGCTGCATTGCTGTACTCATGGAAAGTAAAGTAACCCTGCAAGATCAAAGTAAATTAAGAATAAGTCGTATCTAAAACCAGAACCTGTATTGGTTAGCTGTAACTAAGTCAAAATCCAAGATTGCCCTGAGGGCAAATATCAATATTAGCACTGAGATTGGGGATTCAGACCTATGTTCATCACTTCTATAGAACAATATGCAGTAAGATAGAAGTAAATAAATAAATAGTGTAAAGATCAAAACAGAGGAAAAAATAAGTGTTATTAGAAGCAGAAGATATGACTGTAACTAAATAAATTATGAAACAGTCTCAATGCTAATGAATATAATTAATAAGAAAGTTCAGTAATATAGATAACATCAATATATATTTTTTATACTTAATAAAAAAGTTTAGCCACATGGTTAAGATCAGTTACTGTTCAATGTACTAGCAACACATTCAAAAAATATTATTTACAATAGCAAAAATAACCTTATTCTTATTAAATGCAACAAAAATGTATAAGATTTAATATATAAAAATTTTAAGCTTTATTGAAAAGCCTGAAAGAAAATCCAATACACTGATGGGAAGAGCCAATGTGAGTATATCAATTCTCCTTAATTTCATCTACAGATTCAATGCATTTCTAATCAAGCCTTAGTTTGATATAAGTTTAATAAGCCTACTCTATAATTTTTTTTGTGTATGAAACTAACACCATAAATTTCAGAAATTTCTGGCTCTGGTCATATGAGAGCACCAGATGTACCTTCCTTTGGTAAAAACTATAAAGCTGGACAAGAAATGTAAAGCAATAGTTTTCAGATATTGGACAACAGACAAAGCAGCTATATGACTCTTGAAAGAAGGGAAACATGCACGATGTGAACTCCACATTCGATCTAGTTTTCTGCCTGGGAGCAATTTTCAGATTGCATCACAGAGAGGTAGACCCTCAAAGAGAGAGAACCCTGGGTGAAGGAAAGTGAGTGTGGGGCTCCTGAAGCGATTAGGACCTGTGGGAAAAGTTAATGAAACAAGGGGGCTGGGGAGAGCTGTCATTTAAAAAATCAGCATCAGGGGCCGGCTGAGTGGCGCAATGGTTAAAACCTCTCTTGGGACGCCAGAGGACCCCGGTTCGGATCCCACATATGAGGGCCAGTGGCACTGCCCTCCACAGCTAAGATGGTGATCAACAGCTCAACCTGGAGCTGGGCTGCTGTGAGCCGCCAGCGATGGCATAGGCTGCAGCCCCTGTGGCAGTGGGTTGCCATGGGCTACCGTATGTAGCCAGCAGCCAGCGTGAGCCGCCGTCAACTAGACTGAAGAATAAAACGACAGCAACTTTTCTGTTCCCCTTCCCCCAATTCCCCAGCACTGTTCCCATCCCCCCAATTCCCCAATAAAAA